AGAGTATTGATGAGTTGTTGCGTGCCCTATTTCCACTGTTTGTATCAATGGGCTTTGAACTAATGATTTAAATGTCACAAAATTCATGAGCCATCGTTTTATTCCACTGGGTTATTGTACCGTGTGACAAACTTGAATCTAAAATGTAGAGCTTTAAAACTAATGTCTTTGTATCCTGCCTGCTCCCGACTCTGCTGCTGCTGATGCTGCTGCTGCATGACTTCATTCGCAGCAACATCATTTTTATTACTTTCTGATGCTGCTGTTGAAGATTTGTTCTCATTTCTATTTCTTTATTTATTCACAATTGCCATATCGTATTTATTCCTATGAGAATTGTTTGTACACATCGCTGGTTGTCTCCATCCTTCAGTATGGATGTGAAACGTGGATACTGTGTAACAGATACAGTGAGAAGTATCGAAGCATGAGAAAACTCCTTGGCATTTTCTATTGGGGAAAAAACAATGAGTTTGTTTGAAAAAGGATTGAAAGGTTTGTGGAATATCATTAACCTTTTCTCGCCACTGTCAAACGGAGAAAAATGGCGTGGTATGGACACATTACAAGACACGACAGCCTGCGAAAGACCATCAAGCAAGGCAACGTTGAAGGTAGACGTAGGAGAGGACGACAACGCAAAACCTATTTGGACAATGTAAAAATGGACAGGTATATCGGTATCCATTGCTGATGGCTGCCATTAATAGACAGTTGTGGAAAAGAGGGTGCCTCGTGCATTCGAATCTGCCCTACGATTACAAAAGTCAAAAATGATGATGATGATGATGATGATGATGATAAATTATTTGTGGTTGAAGATTCATTTGAAAACGTTCTATGGCTTGTGAGTTATTCATTATATTTTTCTGTCATATTTGTAAATTCAGTTCTAATCTTAAGTTAGATGTGGCACAAGGAATGTGGCACAGAGTAATGATCGAACTTAATATTCAATCGTAATTGACTTAGCAAGACAAGCTTGTTTACCATTACACTACGTCGAGGTGCCTACATGCATTAATATTTGTATTACTATTATATAGGGATTTTCATACAAAAGAAAATGAATGTAACTTTATGTAAATGTCGTACTGTATTTGAAGACATCATAATGTTACTATAAAACGGATTATAAATATACAAATCTGACTCATAATTGACTTTATATGTTATAAAAACTGTATTTTGGAGAAAGCGTAAAAATATTTAATTATTAAATAACTGTTGTTCGGTTCGACTAAGAACTTCATGTAGATACGATGAAGGAAATATTGAAACTGCGTTCGTTTACGTCAAAATTGTAGCAATTTTATAATGACATCTTTTAACTAATATATCATGATCCAACCGCAATTTGCATAGAATTCACATCCTTGAAATATATTCATGCCCGTCGGTATAATTTTATGGTAATTTATTCAAAGTTGAAAATTTATTTTTCCAATACATACTGAAATTTGAATAAATTTGTCAACGATTTTAACGATAAAAATATAATTTATAAAACTATTTCATCCCTCTCCTCATGGCGATGGCGGGACTCCACAATTTCCTGTTTTTATGCTCTAAATAATTATTTATCCTTTACGAGCAATGTTTCATTTCCTTTCAGTCGAGTATGTTACTCGCTGATTTCATCTAATTTACTTTCTTCAGTTTATCCATTGATTGTTCAAAAAGAAAACATCCACGCTACATGTTCAGAAGGTAGATAGCCACCTTGCATGTTCAGAAAGATAACATCCACGGAAGAAAGATATAAAGACTACATGGTCAGAAGAAAGTCATCTACACGACATATTCAGAAGGGATATCTTCACGTTACATGTTGAGAAGGAAGACAACCATGAACATGTTGAGAAGGACGACATCCATGCTACATTATCAGAGGGAACATATCAAATATCTCCAGAAGGAACATATTCACGATACGTATTCAGAATGGATACATCTACGCTACATGTTCAGAAGACACCCATGCTCTATGTTCTGAAGGAAGATATCTACATTACATTATCAAAGGGGACATATCCAAACTACATGTTCAGAAGGAAGGTATTGATGCTACATGTTCAGACGGGCGACATCTACGCTCCATTTTAGAACGAACATATCCAAGCTACATGTTCAGAATGAAGACATCCACGCTACATTATCAGATGGAACATAACCAACCTACATCTTCAGACGGAACACATCGAGGTTAAGTCATTAGAATGAAGACATCCACGCTACATTTTCAGATGGAAGAAATCACCGCTACATGTTCAGGAGTAAAATAACCGAGAGTATTCTTCTATGCGCTGTCCCCCTTCAGGAAGTGTGCGATGATGTTTCTCCATAACTGTTTTCCTCTGTAACTCTTAGCAATGTTAATCTATACTCATTCTTGTTCTGCTAAAAATTTATACATTAGACTCGTTTGGTAGGTTATTCGCTGCTATTCTTTGTCCCTCCTGCATCCAACATATCTTGTGAATGTTAACTTTTCCATACCCTCTTTTCTCATAATGTACCATAGAAATTTATATGTCTCTTTTTTTTTATTCTAACTGTAAGTGATCTTTTTTGTTTCCATTTTCTCTCAAATTTCATCGTGGCTCACATGTAATTCTCAGCATCCTTCTGTAGAACCTCTTTTCTTTTGCTTCAGTTCTCTTCTATAGATGAAGAGATTGTGATTCACTGCCATATAAGAGAGCCGATATTACATAACAGTCTATCATTTTTTTCCCAGTGTTTCGAACGAAAGATGCCTGTTTCTTAATACTTTGCTTAACATTTGGAATGCATCTTTCGCTATTCCAATGTGACTTCGGATTTCAGTGTCGCATTTTCCGTCCTCTGTTAAAACATTTCCTAGATATGTAAATTGTTGCACTTGCTTGATTTCTTAATAATTCGAATCCTACTTTATTCCTTTTGATCACAATCATATTGATGCTTAGTCTTTCTTCTCGATTTCTTTTAGTATATTCTTTAGGCGTGATTATCATTTGCTTTCCGTGTCTGCTAAAAACACTGTGTCATCAGTATATCTTAATGTTGAGAATGTGGTCTCCAGTGCTCTCAGAATTGCCTCACTGTAAAGGATGAAGAATTCCGGTGAGAAGAAACATCTTTGTCTTAAGCCCTTTTTTATTTTTTTTGTATTTACTGAATTCATTCTCTGTCCACGTGTAGGCGGTTTGCATCCAGTATAAGTTCTAAATGGTTCTAATATCCTTCCCAAATAAACTTGAATAGCCTGACTATGTTCAGAATGAAGTCATCCATGAAACATGATCAGAAGAAAAAAGAAACAGGGAGAGATAAGAGAGAGAGAGAGAGATAGATAAAGAGAGAGAGAGGGAGAGTGATCAAAATAATATTACTGTTTTTAGAATAGAAAACCCGATATTTTCTTATGAACATAATAAAGTTTTATTTTCTTTAATTAAAATCACTTAGAAGGAAAAGATGAAGTAGAATAAACGTTAAGAGGAAAGTGAGGAAAAGTAGAAAATAAATACTAAATAGAAAAATGTAAATTACAAAAAGATTGGGAAGTACAAATATGCCAAGTAGAATAAACTAGCAGTAAAGTCCGGCGTTGCTCGGGGTTTTATGACGTTAAATTGCTTTGGGGTTTGAATTATTGAACTTATGCACATATCAGCAGTTGTTGAGGTCATTGATAGAACGGGTAGCAAAATCAAAGAAAATCTTTTTTAGATCAAGGCCAAAAGGTTGCAATAGGTGGCTGCTGTGTTGCTGTTCTGTGCTTAGCCGGTGACTGTCACCTGTTCATAATCGGTCAAGATTTTTAATTCTGGCAATGTAAAATAATGGTTGCGTTTTCACTGTAGGACTCGCCCCTTCACTATTAAGCACATAGGTTTTCCCAGTTTTAAGCGGAATACACGAGCCGTAATGTCATGTCTCTGAGTGTAATCCTGTCCGGGGAGGAGTTCACGCGTTATCTCAACCCATATGGGGTTGCAGGTAAACATTACGAATAACTCTGGCCTCCCATATTGCCTAACCTACCTCATAGCGTCCTGCGTGCGTTCATGCATGTAACGCCCCGCCCCCCTGTGTAGGTAGAAGGCAGAATGCACAGCTTCCCTCAGTTGCGGGAATAGACTTCATTAAGAAGGCTGTCGCGTAAGTGTACGTACGAGTCTGAGCGTAGCTGTTTCTGATAATTCCGTATAAAACAAAGCCTCTCCGATTCCATCTTAGCGGCCATGTCAACCGCAAACTGCTGGAAAAGCTCCCTACATCTATGGAGCAGGTTGAAGTCTCCATCCCTAATCATGAAACGGTATGAGTAGAAAGCCTTGCACGATAAGGCTTTGGAAGACGTTGTAGGTTGGTCGACCGGAGTATGAAGGGGAATGCCGAAGTGTTAGCCATCGTCACCATAAGGGAAAAGTAAAAAGTACTGCAATGCGTCATATGATTGATGGGTCTCTGAAATCCTACGAAGAGCGCCGCCTCTTGATTTGAGGACAATATCGCGAGTGTCGTCTTGCTCCCCATAATAGCGGGCACTTCGTTGCACGCAGGAGCATTGTAGCGGCGTTCGTGTTCATCATGAGGCCGTTTGTCGGCGTCAGTTACCATGGTGAAGGAAGGAAAAGGAGTATTTTCCAAAGCATATTTGAAACTGCGAATGTAGCTGTTAACCTCGTGAAGCATGGCCTGAAGTAGTAGATGATTTCCCTAAAATGAAACTCTTCCCGACAGCGGAATAATACCAATCCGGATTTGGGCCTATAGGTTGTAGTGTGCAATAAAGTATAGTTGAAGGAATTTAGGCGTAGAGGTCTCCTCGGGTAGTAGAGACCCAATGCGGTGGTATACCTTTGAAATTGGGCATCCAACCATATTCTTGAACCACATGAACCCTAAATGAAGTCATTTAAAAGGAGTTGTATTGCCTAATTGTTTTAAGGAAGTGGTTGGAGTTGAGATGGGAGCCAGCTATTAGTCCCCTCAACGGGGTAGGTGGTTCATAACAGACGTGGCAGCCGCACTTTGCCGGAGTAGCAGCACAGACAGGCAGGCTCCCCGGCCCATTTATGGGCGTTGCAGAACTGGCAAACGCATGTCATGGGCCATACATTTAGGTCGTCACGCGTAGTTAAGTCAATGCCCGGGTCGTAATTGAATGCTAAGAAAGACCAAAAAAGAGCTACCAGGACAGGTAATACCACGGGCATCCGCAAGGCGCTGAATGCCGCCGTCGGGGCGTATGCGGCGAGCTTAGGGAGTATGAGATAAGCGCACAGCGGCCATGTTTGTAACAGGCCTTGAAAGTCTGTTTGCCCTTATCTGTGGGCCTTCGGAGTTTCTAGCAGCAGCAGAAGTCACTGCAGCGTTGCGGGCATTGCGGGCTTTCCGCTGCAGCTCTCTCTCGGACTCCCTCGATCTAGCTGTTGCAGCAGCGTCCCTGGATTGACGGGAACGCCTGCGGTCAAATGTTTCAGCTGCCCTCAACCTGGCAGTGGTGGCAGCATTCGCAGCATTTCGAAAAGACTTGTGGAGCGGAGTCTCAGCAGCCCTAGCAGTCGCTGTTGCAACAGCGTCCCTGGATTGAGGGGCGCGCCTGCGAGTTGGTGTCTCTACTGCCCTCGACCTGGCAGTGGTGACCGCATTCGTAGAATTTCACACAAACCTACGTAGCGGTGTCTCAGCAGCCCTAGCGCTTGCTGTTGCAGCAGCGTCCCTGGATTGACGGGCGCGTCTGCGGTCAAGTGTCTCTATTGTCCTTGATTCCGCAGGAGCAGCAGCGTTTGTTACGTTACGAATAAACTATTTATGAGGAGTATCGGAAGACCGAGATGCAGAGGCGGTTGCTGCAGCCTGTGCGTTCATTCTCGGCCGTGGTACATTCTTGAGCCTTGATCGCAACGAAGCCCTGTAGGAAGCTTTCCCAGCCAGGCACGCTCTTCTTGTGACTGCGAGGCCTGCGTGAGGGCGATGCGTTGAGCGACCTGGGATAGTCGCATTGTAGTCTGCTCCTGGGGCTCGCAGGTCCTTCTTGCCCTCATAGCAGAGGCTCTTGCACACCGAAAGCTAAGATGTACTCTCCTTTTTGGTGACATGGGGAAAAGTGATGCTAGTAGTGGTTGATTGGTGTTGCTCAATTCCAGGAGTACAAAATCTAACTTAGTATCGCAAAACGTGAGTCAGAATGGGGAAGGCAGCTATTTAATTAAAACAGCTGAGTAAATTGTTTATGGTAGTTGGAAAAATGGAGTTAAACACACAAACGGAAAACAAAAATGTTAGAAACAACTTGCGGTAGGAGAAATGATCACTTGAAGGAGCCTATCGAATCAACCGGATGGCGGCGTAACAGAAGCAGAAGTGAGACCTTCGTCCCACATCCGATAAAGTTAATGAAAATCCCTAGCAAGTTGCGAAAAACATCGCCAAATTCAGGTAAACTCGATTTGAAAGAAAGTCAAAATTGGTATGATTTCATCGATTTTTATCCGATAATTGAAACCGATATTTCAAATGAAAGTCAGCACCTCAATACTGTCGGTAAATCCTTGGCTCAACGTGAATTTTGCTGAAAATTCTTCGCCAATTGCGAAAAATATAGCCAAAAAGCAGCTTGAATGGACTTGAATCGGATGTCCCAAAGTGATCGATTGCATCGATTTTTTCCAGTAATTGATATCGATATTGTAAATGAATATCAGCACCTCATAACTGTTGATAAAAACAATGCACAACGTAATTTTGGAGGAAATTCTTCGCCATTTGCGAAAAATATAGCCAAAAATCAGCTTGGCTGGATTTGAATTGCAAGTCAAAAGTGGCATGATGTTATCGATTTTTTCCGATAATTTATACCAATATTGAAGAGAAAGGTCAGCAACTAATAACTCTTGATAAATCTAATGCTCAACATGATTTTCATGAAAATTCCTTGCAGTTTGCGAAAAACTGAGCCAAAAATCACTTACATTGGATTTGAATCTGATATCCCAAAGTGATCGATTTTTCCAATATCTGATATGAATTTTTAAAAACAAAGAACAGTGCCTCAAAACTACAAGTAAGGACATTGCTCAACGTGAGTTTGGTGGATATCACTTGTAATTTGTGAAAACTATCACTGAAAAAGTGATGATTTTTTTTTTCAAATCAATATTCGACCCCCTGTCGGTTTTATGGATTTTTTCCAAAATCTCGGAAACAATCGAAGAATCCAAAGATGTCAAGTACGAATGCCGTATATTTTCGATCTCTGTGTGAATTTTCATGCCAATCGGACGAATGGTTTCCTCAGGATTATATAACAAGTTGACAAACACACAGACACACTAACAGAATGCCATTTATAGATACAGATGATAATTGAAAACTATCTGAAGAATAAAAATGTTAAGCATGAAAATATTTTGTGTAATGCGAAGTAAAAAACATGAAATAAAGGTAGAAACACAAAGGAATGCATACAAAGAAATAGATTTTTATATCATGAAGAATTTTGACGAAGGGACTCTTTGAAGTCAGAGAGGATTAGGTTGTGCACAAACTGTTAAATACACAAGAGACATTCAAAATTTCTATCTTTATATTAGAAATAAAATTAAATATATTTTACCTCACGAAAGTGATAATAGATAAAAACTAAAATGTGTAAAACATGAAGAAGAGATGCTAACAAAAAGGAAGAGAAAGGGAGGTTGTTTAAAAAAATCGGTTGAGCAACGCAAATTATTTATTTATTTTTTTTATATTGTGAAACAAGAGGAAAGAAGAAACGATAATTAAACAAAGGAACAGAAAAGTTAAACAACTTTTAGAGAAAGATGATTGTAGAAAAAGCGGGAAGCGTAAACTCAAAAGAAAAAGCAGTGAAGTGGAAGGAAAAGAAGCTCGTTAAGAAGAAATAAAATTTGAAGTTGAAAGAAAGGAGAAATGATGAAAATAAATAATATGGAAAAAGAAAAAGTCATTGGGAAGAATTTAGGGAAGGGAAAAGAATAAAATAAATCGCTGAAGAATATGAATAAGATAAAAACAGTAAACAAAATTATAAAAAAATAACGAGTGTTTTGATTTTACGGTTTATCAACCATTTGCAGTTTATTTTAAGCCAGAAAACATATTTATATTTTAAATGTTGTTCTTTCTTTTTTAGATAATAATGATTTACTAATACAAGTACTACTACCTACGCACAGTTGGTATGAAATATGGATTTCTACCTTTCCAAAGAATATTTGCACGTAAGTGAATATAAGGAACCTGACTGGAATTGGGACTCGGCTCTCCTATTTTCAATAAAGAAGAGAATAAGATACGAATGGGTAAGATACAGAAAAGAAGGGAATACAGAAGAAAGAAAAATATTTGAAGAAGTGAAGACGAAGAAAGAAATGTAAGAAATTTGCAAATAAAGAGAAGAAAGAGTTAAAAAAAACTAAAATAAGTACTGAGAAAAAGAATACACTGAAGAGAATACGATGAATTTTAGAAAAGAAAAGTAAAGAGAAAGAATCTATGAAGAAGTCGGACTAATGAATTACATTCCCCAGTTGAAGGAGGTAAATTGAAAGAATAGATGGAAAGCGAGAATTAAATGAACAGAAATCCAACACAAAAAGAAATCAATCATCGGCGGTCAGTAAAAAAAGGAATTTGTAAGAAAAAGTTTTAAAAATAAAATAAAATGCAGAGAAAAGTTGGGTAAAAAAAGTGATAAAAAAATCAGAAGTCTATTGGATTCAGAAGGTAAAAATAAAGTGGAAAAAAAAATAATGCAGTAGCCAGGAGTAGAGAAATTTTGATGTGTTTCAGGATTGGAATCCACGGACGAATTAATGATTTGAATAAGTTGATGAGGAGTGGATGGGTTGAGTCTTAGTGTGAATAATATAATTCAAACAAAGTTCATAGTGAGAAAACAAAACAAAAAAAAAAAAACAACTTTCAAAAAAAAACAAAACATTGTAACAAGCCTTGAGTGAGAGAAGCAAAAGGTAATGTTTCCGGAAGAACTGGCCCAGCTTCAAACAAACTGAATTTCGTTATTTTTAACACAGTGAAGAGCTTCAAAGAAGTTTATAATCAAAGATTATTTACTAAAAAATATTTATGAAATTACTGAAAATTACGTACAAAAGTTGGAAGAGGTAAATAACTGCAAGCTTTGGGGAAAAGTAATTAATTATTAGATAGATAGATAAATAGAATGATAAGTAGAAAAAAATCTCCTTTCTAAATGTCAAAGAAGCACTACATAAATGGCGTTTCCATGAAATCTTGTATATTACGTAAAAATGATATATTTGTTCGTGTATATGTGTGTCCGTGTGTGAGAGAGAAAAAGAGTGAGTGAGCAAGTGAATAAGTAAGCTTATATGTCGCCTAGTATGATTTCTACACCATTTTCTCTTGTTTTTGGTACTGTCTTTTCATAGCATGAATTTGGCACACGTTATCCAAAATTGTTATCCAGATCTGTAAAAAGATTTCAAAAGATAGAAAAAAATCATTAAATGATTAAGCAAACAGATGATACTGTTTCTGCAAATTAAATCTTACTGATTAAACGTACACACACACTCAGACAGATAGATAGATGCGTGATAATATATATATATATATATATATATATATATATATATATATATATACACAAGGTGACATAATGTAAATTGTGAATGCATATCTCAGGCAAACGAAATTAAATAAGCTTGATGTTGAAAAATAAAAGGATCAACATTCGACCAGGATATTCAAAGAGATGACGATTTTATAAGCGATTACATAAAACTTCATAAATTTTCAAAGTCCGCACCACCTATGACACGACACAGGTCATGTCAGTAGTTCAGCTCCTGTCAAACACACTGTATCATGTAAGATACTTAATCCCCAAAGTATCGTACAAGACATCTGGGTTTTTACAGATGCTCTTTTTACATACTTTCTTCGGCTTCGCACGAATGTTTCTCAAAGCTAATTTCGGGTTAATGCATTTTTCTTGAATTTTCTTCAATAAATGAAGTTTCTGCATGCGCACACCTTTTTCTGACTGCGTTCGAGCATATTCGCAGACAAAATGTTTTTTTTTTAGTTCAAGTTAACGTCATTTTACTCAGAAAAAAGTAATACTCATGTTTGTGGAAAATATATATATATATATATATATATATATATATATATATATATATATATATATATATATATATATATATATAAATTTAGGATAATGCATAGACGAATGAATAAGCGAATCTTCAAAATGGCTCTACAAATCTGAATATTATTTGAGTATTATTTTTCATTCAAATTGCAAGAAATAAATTACAAAGGAAAAATTTTTGTTACAGTACAACCGAATGAATTGTGTCAGTATAGCAGAAACAGAATGCGTATAAATGCGAGAATGTATGCGATATGGATGTACGAATAAATTGTAGTAGTCGACCGTAGCGAGAGAGAATAAGTATTAAGTTGTGAGAATTTCAATTTTTTTTGGATACCAATCCCCTGGTTAAAGGTTAACTGCAAGAAAAATTAACGATCGAAGATTGATCATTTATATAATGAAACATCGGCTCCACAAAAGACCAGAAATTAGATTTATTAATCTTTATATGGTGAAGATTTGCATATTGAATACAACATTCTCTTCAATTATTTTTGGCAATGTAAATTTGGCATACTTTATTTCGGCAAAAGAAAAAGAATTCACCTTAAAAAAAAACAACTTAAATTAATTTTTTAAGTGTTCGATACCGAGTCGCTTAAATTATTTGGTGATACGCTTAGAGCACCTTAGAGGATTTCATTGGGGGACATTTAGGGTCTAGGAAGTTACAGATTCCTGGTTCAGCCCCTTCAGCTGAATCACTGGACGCTGGTGGTGGTACAGTATCTTCTGATTTTGGTATGTCATTTTCATCCGAATCAGGTATAAGGTTATTTGAGATTATTGTAACTGCTTCAGGTTAGAGATGACGTAGAGACACATCACTTTCTTTTCCATTTGTTAACCTAACAAGAGCGTAATTTGAATACGCCTGGATCATCTCAAATTCTTGCACAGTAGGTTTATACTTGTTATTATGAACGTAATTTCTCATGATCAACCCTGAAGGAACAGATCTTTAAGAAAACATCTGATCATGAGAAGTACAGTTCTTGGCTGTACACAGTAAGGAAAGAATCGAGTGAAAAGAGTCAGATAAGACGGTTTCTCCGATATGCACAGGTAAATATCTTGATTTTAAGGCTAATTTGATCATCCTCCACAGGGATCTATTCAGTCTCTCCACATGACTGTCTTTCCGTGAGCTGTACGCAGTACTTCTTCTAGTAACTATTGCTTTCTCTTGAAAAATTTTCTTAACACATCCGACATAAAACAATCTATCAGAGTGTATGTCATATGGCATACCAAATATGCAAAATAATTTTCTTAAAAAGGTAATGGGCATGTCCTTACACGCAAACCGGAAATAGAAATGATTATATTCATCAATAATAGTTAAATACTTGATTCCTCCATGAAGTAAGCGGTCCCTTGAAATCTATACTTAGTTTTCGAATGGTTAAGTGGCTTGGAATAATTTACCACTTGCTATTACATTTTTCAGTCATTCCCTTTACTTTCTCTGTTCAGTAGTGAAAATTTCTCAACCTGATAAACTGCATTATTCTTAATATTCCAGGATGACATAGATTATCATGTAATTTTTAAGATGCATATTTACGACAAAAGTGCAATGTTTATGCATCTGGCCATGCGTTTTGATGTCCGCTCGATATCTGATACCATATTTGTATGCGCAAAGTTCAATTCGAGAACGATGGCTTTTGTCGTTTTTAGTCATCGAAAAATGTCGCATTCAGCTTTTTGATCCCTGACAAGAATTAAATATTTATCTTTCAGGAAATGATATCATTACCTTATTGCTTCGATGATGGCGTTAGCTACTTTTTCTAATAGGGAGTGGTTTCGTCCAGACTTAATGTGAGACCATACTTTTCAAGTTAGTGCCCTGTACTTTTTCATTAATACCACAAATGGTCATGTCATCTATACATGCGAATTCTCCGTTTAAGCCTTTCATTAAAAAATTCATTTGAAACCCAGCAATTCCGTTTGTGATCCCAAACAGCATCCTTTTGAAATTATACAATTTCCCACGAGCTTCAAAAGACGTTTAATGGCAGTCTGCTTTACGTAGAACTTGATGATACACACATTTTAAATCTAGTTTAGAATACATAATATACTTTCCTGTTTTAGAAACCATCGTTGTAATATTAGATAGTAGACACCACTTTTCAGGTGAAACTATTCATTTTTTTCAATAATCTATGACTAAACTTTTTTTTTTGTTTCTCGTCCTTCGTTATCACTACTTGCGCTCTCTACGGAGAGCTACTGATCTCAATGATAAATGAATCCAAGCTTTTTATTTCCTTCCTTATAAATGCCTCCTCTTCTCTAGAGGATCTTCGGGATTTCACAGATATAGGTCTGTAGACAGGCGACAGATTTCACAACAGAAAAGGAGGTGAAATCCTCTTCCACATATCTTTAGAGGTGGTCTGTCGCCTTCATAAAATTATTTTTGTGTTGGCCTGAAAAGACTTGTCCGAAGATCACATTAGCACCTAAATTATCCATTAGGGATTAATTAATTTTTTTGCAATTTTCTGTACCCACCATAACATTCGCTTCACATTTCCTACAGGTTGTAATAACAAGTCAAATGAAGCCATATTGACGGTAGAGTTAGTAAGTCTAACGTCCAAACCCACAGTCTATCTCTCTTGGTGTTGATAAAACTATGACTACTTCTCTAATCTGCTAGCGTGGTAAGATTTGTTGTTCTTTGAAACTTCCTTTAGCTCAGTAGTTACCTGGACATGATGGATAAACCTGCAGAAAACATATTAGGTTTCAAACGACAGACTTTAACGAAAAAAAACATTTCCCTTGCAACTATAGCAACTTGTTCCTCGAGCCAGAAATTTAATTCTAGTGTGCCTAGTACTTCCGCAGGAAGAGCACCTTTCTTTTAAAAGAGATTTTCTACCAGCGGATTCCCGAGAGTCCTCCTCCTTTTGATTTTTCGCTTGCTGTGAAGTTAAGGCATTAGTCCAGGGTTCTGATACCGACACTACTTTTTGTTTGGATAACAGCAGAAACGGCTTTAGAATTTAGCAATAACACTTCCCACACTTCGCGCTTGGTTTCCAGCTCCTGTGGGAGTGAGCGTTTTGATTACAAGAAGTTTCTGCCGAATAATAGGTACGGATGACTAAAGGCATCTCTAATAGCTTCCTCTTTGTAAACTTGAGCGTTAACATCTTTCAATTTACAGTCCTTCGCCAGAAGGAGAAATGCCGGAAGGTATTGATCAAAGGTCTCCCCAGCATGTTGAGTTCTAGTTTTATTTATTGTGAAAAATTACACAATTACGGCAAATGCCGAAATGGAGAGTAGTTGTGTCTGGTCATCACTATCTTATACCTAGC